AATATACATTATAAATAACAGCTTCATGTATAAACAAGCCGAAATTCGGCTATCGAAGTGTATGCGGCAGCGTTCGAAGAAAAAGTTCACTCGTACCGATCAGACAGCCGAGAAATATTACTTGTCCAGTTATTTTTACGCGATTAAATCGTGAGCGAAAAAAAGAAAAGCAAAAAAAAAAAAAAAAAAAAAAAAAAAAAAAAAAAAAAAAAATATTCTACTCTATCTTAATCTATAAACGCCCGCTCTATTATCTGTCATTTATATGAAATTGTTTCTGTTTGTTACCTTGTCAGTGTATAACATTAACAGGCTAATCGTTTTAAGCAATTAACAATTTTACAAAAAAGTATGTTTTGCATATATTTGTTTTGTTACGATAATGCGATATTAGAAATTAACAAGAGACTGGTATGTTTTTGATAAATATTACAATGATAAAATATAGTCTGCCTTTCAATGACATTATCGCTTCTTGGGAAATATGAACGATTTCAAGTAAGCATACCGCTTTATTTCAACAATAAACGAGTAATCTGTATGCCTTTCGTTTAAAACCTCTTCAATGAAATGTAAAAAATGCCACCGGAATAATACCAGACTTCAAGGCAGATGTATAAAGTATTATATATAAGATATATAAACTACAATATAATATATTTCAAGATTACATCGGACAGATAATGCCATTCATCGAAAATCGTTCATTTCCTGCATGAATTTCGAGGTTCAATTAAACGAATTTAATTAAACTAACTGCCAATGCTAATTTCGAATTAATTCGTACCACCGTTGGAAATTCTAGACGTTCGAATCGATACGTCCATCGAAAATTATTCATTTCTTTTGACGAAACTCGATTGACGTTTAATTAAATAACTTATTAAACAAGTATCGCGGTTGGATTTAGTTGTTTGTTTAAGATCGGAATTAATTAGAGGCCCTGATTGCAAATAAATTATTACGGGGGCACGTTAATGCGCTTAACGAACGAGTTTCAATGAATCGGTGCAAATTAGTGTAACCAAGATGTATAACAACGTGGTCCCTATGTGCGATTAATTGGCGTTTTCGGTCTTGTAATTACCGCGGCTTTCGATGCGGTGCTTGGATACAGGTTTGATACGCGTATACACGGGTTATTACTGGCTTATTATCCGCGATCGTGGAAAATTGCTGTGATTTTAGAATTAATGCCCCCCCCCTCCCCCCCCCCCGCTACAAAAGTGCCTGCCATCACACTCGCGAGAATTCGGCTAACGAAATAGCTGTATCAGTACATTCTGTATAACAGTGTACACAGTTTGATACATTATATGGTTCTGCATACACGTCATTCGCTTTTATTTAATCAACAGAATTTATTTAGCTTGTCCATGTTGTTTTTGCGGTCACGACAGTCATTTTCAAATGCAAATATTTGCATATAATTGCAAAATAAAACAGTCATTGCAAAAGTTGTTGCAAAAAGAATTGATCTTATTAAATTAATTTGAATTTTGAGCGAATTAAAAAAAAAAAACTGACGTTTGGAATTGCATCACGAGGTTTAAATTGAAACTTACGGTTCAGTCGCTGAATCATATGGACTTGCAAAATTTTGCGATTCAACTTTGAGTTTTATTGTTGGAAAATTATCTTGTAACAGACTGTTGGAAGATTTTGCGGAACTTGGTGCCGTCAGTAGGCGATAAACAGAATTTAAATACGAAGAAACAGAACGAATGCAAAGGTAAAACAGTGCGCGTAGCCCAAGCCTTTCAAGTAGATTCGGAAGCTACCTGATCAGCCGCTGATAAGTTAGAAATGCAACTACCCTGTTGTAGACTGAAACTATCTCTTATCTATTGAACCAAATTTATATTATATTATATAAATGGAATGAAACTTTGAACTAATACAGAGATATTAAATAAATTAATTTAAAAAAATAGACTAATACCAAATGCGTTAATTGCCTCTTGTGACCGTTTAAGATATAATTTCACAAACAAACAAACACGCGATTAATTTGTAAACATGTTGTTCAAAGATTAAACGAGCTAAAGATCTCTTATGATTTTGCTTTTGTGTTTTACTTTTGAGAAGGCCTTTGTAACAGACGATTAAACGATGTTCATGAAAATTTTATCACCGTGAAAAGTCCTTTTATTGAGAGATCAATGATAGCTATTATTAAGCGAGCAACATGTAAAATGGACTAACGTGTAAAACTGAATAGTTTTCTGTGCTGTAAAAATTTAATTTCACTATTTAATAAGTTGTATGTGTGGTAAGTTAATAGATGTTTCTACGAAACAGACAAATCGACTTTTTGACGAATCTACAAATATTCAGACACGTATCAATTGTCATAATTTTATTACGAGTTTGCACGATCTTATGAAATACTACATTATTGTAGTAGGAAAGGAATACTGATTTTTTTTTTTTGACAACTTTTTCTTTTTTTTTCGTCTCACATATTAACTATAAGTTAATATTTCACTAACTGTGTTGTATACCACTAAATAATTTTCACACAAGATTTTTCTATAATTTCACATACAAGTCATTTGCTACGTTTGGATCATTAATTATTTCTAGTTATATTTTCCTTTCCTAATGAATAAATATATAAATTTCTAATCCGAATTAACACACCAATAATTTTTGAATGACTGACTGATAATGCCTGTTCCCAGTATTTTTCTTATACCATAATTAATTCATAGATTTCATCCTTCAAATTATTATTGATGCATCATGATTAATAATAGCTAATTATCGTCAAATGACGATATTCCACTTCATTCCATTTCACGTTACAAATATAATTCTAATTCCATATCAGTAAGATTCTGTGGTCATTAAAAAACGCAAGAGAGGAGAGAAATCACAATGGAAAAAAAAACCGGGAAGCGTTCAAGAAAATTAATCGAGATTGTGCGTGGAAACGTAAGATCGTCTATCGGTGGTCCCTTAAGATCGCAAAAGCTTGGTCACAGAAATTGTATCTTGGTCTTGCGCTTACGCTTGCGCTAAAGCAGCTAGTACTTAGCGCGTCTCTGTATAAAAGCGGCCACTTGTTGAACGACTTGCATTCCACCGATTCTCCTCAACCGTGGATATATCTGTTTTACGAAGCCCGAAAATTCGTATCTCGCGTCGTCTGCGAAGTGATCGCTATCCAACAAAGTTCAAAAAGTTTATCTTTTCGCATTTCCTTCGATCGCGCCTGAACCTTGCTGCACCTGCTGATCGTCGGACTCGAGATTTCCGGAAAGGTAGGATTCTTGTGTGACAATGTTAAAATTTCTATATTTCTATGTGTTCATCGGGTTGAGCAATAGTTTATTAACATTTAGAAATAATTTTGAAACACCACTGCGATTGTGAGAGAAAATTCGAAGAAAATTCAAAATCGTTCCGATCCATCCTTCCAATTTTCGGAATTTCAAAAGAAATCTGATAAATAGTTGAGTAAATAACTTGTACAGGCAATAAGAAGTGCATGTGTACGACAATGCAACGTAACATTTCAATGTAATAGAAATCGAAGTTTTTTTTTTTGTTTGGAAGGCAAGAGTCATCCGAAAGAATTCGAAATCTGAAGAGTGAATAATTTATATTTAGACATACGAATTTCTATCGTCGACTTTATCGTTGAAAAAATCAGGAATAACAGATATAACAAACATAATCAAAAGCGGTGGGATAATTGAGCTGCCTTCTGAATTGATGCTAGCGAATTTACCTAGTTTCTAGTAATTAGGGAAGCGTATCGTTAATGAACTGGTTTTCATCGGACAATTTAGTTATCAGTAGGATCAAGACGCGTGTTCATCAGATCGACTGCTAATTCTCGATGAAATCGCGAATCGGTATCAAACACCGGTGGCTCGTGTCATGCATAAGCAGTCGGCATCGCTGATAAATCCTTCGAATCGCGCACGAATACTGAAAGCTACGGGAAATTACAAAAGTCGGAAACGGAAACGGTGGAAGGACGAGCTTTTAATATCGTCGAGCGTCATTCTGGCTTAAGCTCGAGATCCTCGTGACTGCCGATGTTCGATTTTCCATTTTACGTCCCGTATGGGCCCAGATCTTTTATTTTCTTGTTTGTAATCGCTAGGTGATAACGTCTTCATCGTTCCCTCCCTCTAGATCCTCATGAAATTGTGAACGCTATTGTCGACCGTCTGAATAAAGAACATCGCAAAGACGCACGCTACCGGTCGATTATTGAGCTTATCGAGCAGAGAAATTCAATGATAGTTCTCATTTGGAATAATCTGATTTTTTTGACTTGTTCTATCACATTCGAGCGAATACTAAAGTAAGATGAATATCATCACTTCTTTCACAGATTGGTCTCTGATGTTGAACGTATCATTCAGTTTATGAAGCGCGTAAACTTGGCTAACTTGACCAGTCAGCTAAACCACCCGTCTGAACTTTTCGGTCTATCGTCTTCGAAGACACAAACAGCACCGGATTTCCGTGAGACTCGCGAGCGAAATCCTCTGTTCTTCAAAACAAGATTAAGTAATATCCGTCCACTTGACTTAAATTCATTCGAGATACCTTTATTCCACTCGTACGACACGGTTTTTACGAACTAACGTTAGAGCTACCAACGACCAACGTATAAAACCTCTGTGAAAGTTCTGTACTCGCGTGAAAAAAGTATGCAATACAAGAAGAGAAAGAAAGTCAATTAAAATTGTCAGAGTATCAAATCACGTCATTGTCTATACCTGAGAATAAATAGGCGGTAAATCAATGAGAGAAGGTAATAAAGAACGATAATCGAAAGTTGAAAGAAAAACGATCGTACGATGGAGGAAGATGCGAAGAAAAGGTCACTCATCGAATCCAGGAAAGCGTACGATCTAGTTCTAGGCCACAATGAGCCTTGTGACACTAGCCTAATAAGCTCTGGGCCCATGTGACAAGCGATCGATGATGAATCCGTACAAATCATCCGCGAGTACCTATCGTAGCGTTAAAGTTCGACGCTAGGTCAACACGCATAGGGCAGCTAAGCGTATCTACACAGCACGCTCGTCCAAATCCGCTGCTGCATCGTCGTGCAAGCTTCCGCGAAACACGTCGCGAGTTTCCCCGATTCCTTCCTCAAACACTTTGCGGCGACAAATTTATTATAAACGTTAACACATGCGCCTGATTCGGTGCCATCGAAATTTTGAGATTTGGTTATTGTGAAGATCAGCGGTGAGTGAGTGCTCTAAAGGTGTAATTTCAATTTTAATAGTGGTCACGGTATGACAGTTTCTTCAATCTAAAAAAAAAAAAAAACATTTTCCAATTTCCTTTTGGTTACGACCATCTCATTTGTCGGATTTAACACCTGTTTGATGTTAAGAGATATTAATTGAAGAACACAGCTCTTAAAAAAAAAATTATTTCCAATTATCTCTTTTGAAACTAAAAATATCCAAGTTGTTAGAAAAATTTGATTATCTAGATAGCGTGAGCTGTTACCTTTGAAGCGACGAATATTACAGTGTGTTGACTGATTTGATTGCAGATAATATGAATCTAGAGGAGTATAGAAAACATGGTGAGTAGGAAACATATTTCATTTCCACTGTGACGCATGTAAAATAATAAATGTTCAAATGTTCACCGATTAGTTGAGTTCACGTTGGCATGATCGGTGAAACGAGAGACTAGCAAGAAACTATCAAATACGTTTCTAGGCATTAAAACGATAGCAATAAAGAGGGATCACCGTAGGGGAGAGTACGTCTATGGGATCTTTATGGATTCGATACTGTTTCCAATACACTGGGTTCCGTCTTTACAATCTAAATCTCTGAATCCTAGGCAAAGCATCCGAATGAGATTTCCCTTTTTCTTTAAATCCAATTTCGTATGAAAAATCGATCTTTCTCCTCCTCTAGTCATCTCCCCTTGTTGCTCGATCGTTTCAAACGTCAATAAAGCTGACTTTTATAGAAATCTATATCGCAATTCGACTCTGAATTTGGAACAGATTTAAGATTGTATTTTTCCTCGGATAAAATACGATCTCGACGAATCGTCCATCGTTTAAGAAGTAAGCTAAGGCTTGTACGTCGAAGCCCGATTGACCCGTGACTTTTAGAAACCGTTAAACAACACGAATCGAATCACATTGTGAAGCATGATGTACATGAGAGAAACGAATTGGGAAAGACAAAGATGTTATCCGGGACAACGATTTCGCCTGCACGAGTATTTTCCCAATACACTCAAGATCGATTCACCTAAATAGAGAAAACTAAAGATAATCGGTTTAACGTTTTTCCATTGGGGCTTAATAATTGATCTTCCAAGAAGGTAGTCATCCTCGAAATCTCGTCCTTTTAATTGCACCGAAATGTAACGAAATTTCAAAGTCTATCGTACAAATGGAGTTTCGACGTTCAACATAGCAAGATGAGAGAGAGAGAGAAAGGAAGGAAATTTAAAAATGTAAATAAATTTGCAAACATTCCAATTTTCGTCGAAAGTCACATCGTCAAATAACTTCCTCTCTCGTCTATTTACTGAGAAAGTAATCTTTTCTATTTGATTAAAGTGTCTTTCAAAGCAACATCTTTGGGGAAAAAGAAAACAAAACTAAAGGAATGAGAAATGTAATTTTTGCATCGCGCGAAAGAGAAAAGAAAAGTTGTATTCGAAAGACATATAATCTTGTTGGTCGACTTGATCGCGATTTCAAACTGTCAGGAAAAGAAATGGTGGATTACATTGCCGATTATCTGGCGAACATACGATCCCGACGCGTTTACCCGGCGGTTTCCCCGGGTTACCTGAGAAACGTTCTGCCCGTCTCTGCGCCACTGGATGGCGAACCTTGGGAGGACATATTCGCGGACATCGAAAGGTGCATCATGCCAGGAGTGACGCATTGGCAAAGTCCACACATGCACGCCTATTTCCCAGCCCTGAATTCACCTGCTAGCCTGCTGGCCGATATGCTGGCCGACGCGATCAATTGTCTTGGATTTACTTGGGTAAGAACAATAATGTGAATATCACACGCGCGCCGAGCGAAATGGTTTAGTTTATTATGCTTTCTCCCGTTCGGCTTCAAACTTCGTCATGTCACACACGCGACACGTATTTAACGATATTATATTAGATACACTTTTCAATGGCGTGAGAGTTAAGCGTTGGAAGAAGAAAATTGAAATAGACTGCAGATCGTTCACGATGAATGTAAATCGTGTACTTCGTTTTGCAAGTTTTAGTAGCTACCTGATAAGGTAAGTTCAGAAGTTGCGCTATTCAAATTCGACGTTTTGTCTGCTACTACTACCGCTCGATATGAGTTCCTATTGTCGATTCTTGATAAGAGAAGTCTTTAATCACGAGAAACACTGAGAGAGTCATTTACATCTCTACGTTCTATTAATTACGATACAATTATCGGGAGGTGCGTTTCTCTTTCATTTTTCTAACGGGCCCTAAATCTTTATCGCCCTTTGTGTATTTCCTCAAGGCCTCGAGTCCTGCGTGCACGGAACTAGAGACGATCGTAATGAACTGGCTTGGGAAAATGATTGGTTTGCCAGAGGAGTTCCTGCATCGTCCAGGAGGATCTGGAGGTGGTGGCGTGATACAGACAACCGCGTCAGAAGCCACCCTCGTTTGCTTACTCGCAGCAAGAACCCGAGCCATTAGAGACGTGCAACAAAATGAGCCGGATCGTTTACCCGCCGAGATTAATTCGCGTCTTGTCGCGTATTGCTCCGACCAGGTACCCATTTCCGCTTTAAATCTTCTCCTTACACGAACTGATTTTCCTAAGAGTGTTCTCCGTGTTCTTCTCTCTGTTAAGTTTCTTACTCTCTTGCGAATTCACTCTTGCAACTCAAAAGTAATTCCATCCGTTCATCTCATAATTATCACGCATTTATCTACGTCCTGCTTTAACGTCGTTCTACTTTTATTGCATATTGTTCTCCGTTTTTTCGTCTTTTAAATTTTTTTTTTAAACCCCGACGTGGAGGAAATTTTTTTTTTTTTAAAAAAAAAAAAAAAAAAAAAAAAAAAAAAAAAGAGAAAAAATCTCTGCCACGTAAATGTCTTGTAGGCTCATTCTAGCGTAGAGAAAGCTGGATTGATAGGACTAGTTCGAATGAAGTACATCGAATCTGACGACGAATTGAGTATGAGAGGAGAGACTTTGCTCGAGGCGATAACAAACGACAGGGCCGAGGGTTTACTCCCCTTTTTCGTGAGTATCAACTGTTCATATTTCACAATTTATATTTCGAAGATAATTCAAACGGGTATCATATCTCAAGAACCTACGTGACCAATATTACGTAACACCGTATTGAACCAAGGCGGAAACTCGCAGGAGACTGCTCGTACTTTTTCTTCCCAATTAACGTTATCAAAGTAAATAGTGATACTACGGTAGAAAATAATCGACCCGTCAATTAAGCTTGGCATTTGTTAGTAGCTAAAGTAGAGAACATGGTGGACATGACGTAACAAGGCGGATTGTACCTTTCCTAGTTGGTCCCCGAGGACATCGACTAGCGTTGTCTTTCATTTTTCAAGACAATAAATCCAACGCACCGGGGAAGTAAGTTTCATTACGACCGTCGCGACGCAGCTGTTCAAACGGAAAAATTTTTACAAGAAACTAGAACTCGCGACAAGCTTGATCGAACATCATTTCTATGTTGCTTGAATTTGGATCGACTCGGATATCAAATTTCTTTAACGTTTGCTCTCGTTCGTTTGTCAAGGTTTGCGCTACTTTGGGTACAACGGGCGCCTGTGCTTTTGACAATCTTAAAGAAGTTGGTCAAGTGTGTAAGTAACATGTGTGTAACAGCACGATAGAAAACAGTTTAGTTCGATTTAATTCGGTCGTCGACACGTTTCGAATGAATTGACAGGTGAACAGAATGGACTGTGGTTGCACGTGGACGCGGCCTACGCAGGCAGTGCATTCGTATGCCCTGAATTCCGTGGATGGCTCCAAGGAATAGAATACGCCGATTCAATCGCGTTTAATCCTAGCAAATGGCTGATGGTGCATTTTGACTGCACCGCTATGTGGTGAGTGTCACGTACGAATACACAAGAATATCTGGATTATAATATTTCATTTCGACGACGATAATCGACTGGCAATATTCACGAGGAAAAGGAGAAACAAGCAGCAAGGCAGGAAATTTGTACATCTGGAAATCATTGCAGATCCGATAATTCATAAGCGCGAAGGATTATCGCCTTTCGTCCTCCTCTTTCTCATGACTTATAGGTTGAACTGCGGATGCAGAATGGCTTTTTTCATTCTTCCTGCAATTTCCGCCGACTCGTTCGACCGACCCGACATAATTCGCAATCTTTAGGATTGATGTTTGAAAGTCCATTAAAGTCGATAGCGCGAGGAACTTATTGTTTTATAATCGTCAGTGCTTTCTAAAATCCGGACGTCGATGAATATATTTCAAAATTAAAAGAATCCTTTTTTCCCACTTCGACTATTACTTTTATCTAAATTCGCTTGTATCCCATTGAATTTCTGCCAGACAGCGATCGATCGAAGACACTGATCGTGAAAATTAACCGGAAACAACTTCTGGTGATTCTTTTCAGGGTGAAAAGTAGTCAAGCATTGCACAGAACGTTCAACGTGGACCCACTGTATTTGAAGCACGAAAACTCAGGTAACGATGCATCGCGTTTAATACAACCTACTGAATTCGGTCGAGCGAAACGTTCGATTACATAAAACATTTTATTATTTATTTGCAGGCTTGGCTATCGATTACATGGTAATTAACCAATGAGATTTGCCGACGAAATTATTTCACGACGTTTTATATGCATTAATCTTCGTTTATAATTCTAGCACTGGCAAATCCCGTTGTCAAAGAGATTCAGAGCGTTGAAGTTGTGGTTCGTCATTAGAAATTACGGAATCACCGGCCTTCAGAAGCATATTCGCGAGGTTTCTATTACATCATACGTTCCACGTGTACAAGGCTTGCGACAACTTTTTCCTAGCACATCTTCTTTTCCTTCGAGCTCTTGAACGATTGTGATTTTTCGTTGAAAAATTTAGTACTCTGACTGTCACGATGTTTAACAATATATTAGCCAACAGACTTATCTCTTTCTGATTTCACTCTAATTCGAATTTCAGGGTGTCAGACTGGCACAAAAGTTCGAAGCGCTGGTTTTGGCGGATGCGCGCTTCGAGATCCCAGCGACGAGGCACTTGGGACTCGTAGTATTCCGTCTCCGAGGAGAGAACAGTTTAACAGAACGTTTATTGAAGAAGATGAACTCGAGGGGACGTGTCCATTGCGTACCGGCTGCTTTACATGGGAAATACGTGATTCGATTTACCGTCACCTCAACCAAGTAAGCCTTCGCATCGAAGAATGTTAAAATTTTATCAATGCCGCGGTCGATACTTATCCAACGATTCTTGGAACATTCAGCAATACTAATAAAATTATTCAAACGACGATAAAAAGTTAGAAAACTTAAGGAACAATTCTAAAGAAAAAGAAAAAAAAATGGATGAACTTCGATTATAATTTTAGCACTACCAACGAAGACATCTTGAGAGACTGGGCTGAGATACGGAATACAGCGAACGAAATTCTGGGAGATACCACGACTTCTCCTGTACGAGCCAAAGTCCCACTTGCAGGTAACGCAGAAACGAACGGTAAACTGACAACGAGTAACTCAATACGACCAATTTCGTGTAATTTTTGAAGTATCGAGGTAAACATTGTGCTTGCAAATTTTATACGTTGCTCAAGCACATGTCGATCGTAAGCTTGTCCTTTATTAAAGACTTGATTTTGTTTCAGATTTTCTAGATAGACGGAGTTTCACGTTTTCTTTCTTTCTTTTCTTTCTCATTTCTATTCGTGGAAACGCAAATCCCTTGAGTTTTGTACGAGGATAGAATTTTCGTTCAGTAGACAAAAGAAAGCTGTTATTAGAATTAAATTTTTACTAGTTACTGAGAGAGTTGTGGATATAATTATGGATATTAAATTCTAATAACATATCATTATTATAAAAAAAAATGTATCATAACTTTTTCTTTTTATTGCTTACGTAGCGAATACGTAGAGTTGTCAGAGTTTCATTTTTATTATATATACGCCAACAGTTACTTTCCTCAATGTTACAAACACTAAGTAATTTATACAAATAGTAATAAGCAATTTTATTTCTAATCACTTGATTTTGCTTCAATTCTCTCCCTTTTTTTTTATACAAATGCATGTCTATGATTTTTGGAATACAGAAAGCTCAGGTAAGACGAGTTTCCAATTACGTGTGATTTCATACTTTGCATTTTAATTTTGTTCCTTAAAAAGTATTCAATTTAATATTGAAATCTTTCGTACAATCGAATTGTATAATATACTTTCAATTTTCAGACACCCGAGAGAAGAACGAAAACTTCGGTTCAAGTTTGTTACTGGCCAATTCCCCGATGTCACCGAAAATCGTAAACGGCAGCTTCGCTGCGATTTACGATACTGCAGATATATTCGAAGAGTGTACGAAAGCTTTCGGTCAATTGCGACTCGAAGCTAGAGACAGTCCAGGTAAATGACAAGTAAAAAACAATAAATAAAAAGTACCGTGATGTAAGTAAATGCAAGATGTACTTGGATTTTAAGCTATGCGACGTCGAATTCGAGGAATACTGATGTCGGGAAAACAGTTCTCTTTAGATTCCCGCATGGATCTCGTACAGGTAAGCTGTGCTGTACAGTTGTACCAAAATTACCATTCTTATCGATTTGCATGCCTTATTATTTGCGTCGTTACACATTTTACACAGGGATACGCTTGCTGCCGTCCAGCTATAGAAATGGCGTCGGAATTGCCACTACAAGAGGATGAAGATCTTGGAACTAACGAAATCTCTGCTAACCAGTCCAAAAATGGTAACTATAGGGTTAAAATCCTTGACAATTTAAGACTCAAGTTTTTCTATGACCAACATGCAAAATAATTCATTTTGTTTTCCTTTTACGTAATCAGATAATTCTGGTGAATGCGCAACCGCCCAAGAGGAAGCGGAGAATTCCGAAAAGACTAATCAACCGTTGAGAAGACAAACCAGCAAGTCTCGGTCGAATTATGCCATGAATGGCTCAGTGAAAGTCGGTTCTCAAGACTGCTCGGAAACTTTAACGTCCATGATGTCGACAGAAGGTAACAACATGCCACGGAGCGAAACGATAGCTGCGATCGGTCATCGTCCATGTACCGGCGATCTATCGTCGATACAGAGCCAAAACGAGAGTCCCAATAAAGAGACCGAAGGCAGCCTCGAGGACGCGCAGATCGTCTGCAGAAAATGCGGCCATTGTATGAAGAAGGAATAAAATTAGTCAAAATAAATCGTAACTGTTAATCGCGTAACAGTTCCCGACTGTGTGTACTCCTTCGATGTCTTCGATGGATTCTATGTTGTTCAGATCTAATTGTAAGCGTGGCGCTTTCGCAGGCCACGCCACAAATTGTTGGAGAGAAAGTAATCAACTGCGATATTAAATTGATGAATTTACCGTCTGACAATCGTTTTCTATTTAACTCACTGTCCTATCCTATATTACGTGCTATTCTTTTATGTACATATGTACATATCAAGAAAAAAATTGAAGAAATGATAGAATTCTTATCTGAATAAAGAAAAAGAAAAAACAAACAAGAACGTATTTTGGATTAGGGGAAAGATTGTTAGATTAGTGGATATATTCTGTAGTGCATTCAACTGGATTGGACGAGGATTCTTTGAACATTGAAACGCCAAGTTCTTGGTTCGAAAGAAAAACTATGATATACGTAGGATGTCTGGAAATGTTACAAAGAAGAACGAATCCAATGATATATAAATTTTATTGCGAACTGATACAACGATGACAATAGATCTGATCAGTCTAGGCCACGACTATATTGTGTACTTTCAATCTCTGGAAAAACATGTCAGACACAACTCAGCCTACAGTGAACGATGAGTTTTTTTAAACAATCCCACACTTTATAAATTTTTCGTTAGCATTGACACGGGTGACGAAAATATCGTTTCGATGTAATATATTAACACCGCTCCTTTTTTTTCTTTTTTCTTTTTTTTTTTTTAAATGATATGAAGAGAAGGGGGAAACATATACGTACACATAAATGTATATTTGCATTGAGGTAAGTCAACAAAGTATCGCTCGTCTGCACCTGATACTCGATCCTTATATCTCGCACTAACAATTAAACCGCGAGGGTACAACGTACTCGTAAAATCTGTCTCGATACACCATCTTTAATCGTTTTAACAATGATTAAATTACAATATGCCCATACAACTATTTATCACCGCTTCGCTTGTCTTTTAATTCCGAATACGTTTTGTCCAATAATTTATAACATGTACATATGTATACTGTTCCTTGTTAACATCTTTAACTACAACTGGAACAATCTTTTATATCTCGCACCACTTTTCTTTTTCCTTTAAATAACTCTTTCAGCGTTTCAGAAGATCGCATGGATAAATAACATTATTTCTCCGGATTTGTGTGAAAGATTCATGAAAATATTTATGTTACACGTCTCTCTATGATCTTTCTTCACGCGTCGGATTACATCGAGATTTAATACCCCATTTAATCTCACATTGGTCAGGATATATACTTCAATCGAAAAAAATCAGCGACCATAAATCCAATTCTTTCACGTCATTTTCAAATTTTTGTTTAATTTTTTCCCTTTCCTTCTATCATGAGCACTATGTGTTTCGTGATATCCGTTTACTCCTGCTATTTGTACCAAACGCTATTTGTATGTGTTTCTTAACACTACGTGCTCTCAAAGTACTAACATAACCGCGTTTTTCGATAGTCGTATGTTTCGAATACTATAGCTAAGAACTGGCTTAAGGCTACTTCACAATCTGGTACGCGTTATCGCATTAGTTTGGTAAAAAATTAACAAACGCTAGGGCAAATAATTCTTCGTCAAATGGATCTCGTTTTCGAAGAAAAACGCTGAGCTTTCCGGCTAAGCTCGATATTTGTATCGTTAGATATTCTACATTGTCACATTGATCGTAAAGACAGCACGCGACCACTTAAAGTCGATTCTCGATAATTTCCTACCATCGTCAAGAAATAATCACTCCGCGCGCAACGGAAGTATCTGCACCAAGAAAAGTAACGATCTCGTTCTATCTGAGATTTCTGACTCTCATCTTCGATAAAAAGCTATAAAACACGTCCTGTTAGTCGCAGATGCTAATAAATGCTAATTGAGAGTTTCTTTTGCCGAGTTGAAACTGCCACATTGAATATACTGAAACGTTGGAACGCTAAAACGTTAGATTCTCCGACAAGAAAGCGTAATGGACAATGTGGTTAATTATCCAACTATGTAAGACACTGCTCGTTAACGTCTCTTAATACTATTAATCAATTAATCTCAATCGTAGCTTTATACATCAAAGGAACAAATGGTTCAATCAGCTAAGTAAAGCAACAAAGCACCTGACACTCTATTTCACTTTCTTACGAGTTAGATGTTTGTCTCTTCGTCTGGAACACGTAGTACGAATTAACAATACCTTGAGACCATGGCAAATCAAATCATACGTGGCGTTAAAAGACAACGATCGATCAACTTTAAAGAAAATCATGTCTTCGTGGAGCGAAATAGGGAACAACAAAATCACGTGCTTAAAGTACAATTGAAAACGCTACTTTGCTATCGAAACATCACTTCATGCTGCTCATCGTATATACTGAATCGTTTGAAAAATCAACGTAACCGACACCAACGAAGAATCAAGAGGTCAGAATAAATGAACATTTCGGGGGGCAACGATCATTCAAATCGATACACATCGACACGTAGAGACAGAGGGGGATTCTTGACACTTGCATCGTAAAATATAATATTCATCATACTTCATTCAATTTATGCCCAATGTTCATCAACATCGATGACAAAAGTATTCGAGCATATCGATACATAGGTTGACATTTCGGCGCAATCGTAAACATCGATCGATTTAACAGAGAAAAAGTGTACATCGATAATAATCTCCTCGATTCTTATGCAAGCACGTGGACATGAGCGTTCGTGTGAACAGGCGAGCAAAAAAGTATCGATTCTATTGCTCTTTCTTTCATTTTTCTTTTTTCTGTTTTCTTTTTTTTTTTTTTTTTTTTGCTAAATTGAAACAGCCTCGATCGAGACGAAAGAGAATCTCTGAAATTCTGAAACATTGTCAAAATTTGTGTTAAAAGTCGTTTAAATGGAGAAACGAGACGAGTGGAGGATTTCGTTGATTTAACTAAAATGTAACGCGTCGGATCCATTTCGTGTTCGACCGAGCTGTTCAAGATTCGCCTCAGCGCATCCGCCGTTACTTCGCATGGTTATCTGTATCGTTAGCATTACGTGTGGATTCTTTCCAGCTGCGAGGCCAAACTTAAAAATGAAGATTCACTTCGTGTTACATGCTGATGTCATTGCAGCACCCATCTTCTGTCCGCTGCATTCGCAATTTTACATGTAAAATTGTTGAGCAATTATGCGTAAGGATCAATCATCTGAAAATTCTCTTCGTTACCCTTTTTGGATATATCTTTTGACAATCTTGCTGACAAAGTGAAATGACTCTTCAATTCTTGGAAGGTCAAAAATTAATCGGCCAACGTTAGTCGGATCGGTCGTGCAATGACATACCGAGATGAGAAGGGGCAGAGACGAATAGAAGAGACACGCGAGAAGGAAAAGACAATTCGAGATAGAGAAGGTAGCCTCGCAGCCGCGCGTGCGACAATGAACAAATGACGCGACACGAGCCGCATGGCTTGCCAGAGAAACACCGGTTAGCTCGCTTTCACTCGCAAGCACCGAAGCTTGTTTGGCAAGAGGCTCCACACCGGAAGCCTCTCTGTGAGGACATGCGCGTTCAACTTGGCCGTGCCAGCCATATCCTGAAAGAAGATTCGCAAACTGCGTGGTCGTAAGCTGCCCGATTTTCACGAGTATCCTCGAGCGAGTTCAACGTCGCTTTCGCCGATCGAGTCCCTCGTTGCGTGCCGCGCGTAATCGATCGATCGATCGATCGATCGATCGCATCATCACACACACTCACAGTTCCGGAAGCCTGAAAAGCGCTCGGGAGCGTCGCTAATACACGCGTTTAATGGCGTGGCACGATCGAAGCTGAAGGCCCACGTTGTGCTTTTTGTTAATTCGATCTGCCTCGCGTTGTATTCGTCGGGGTGGAAGGTTTCGTGTTCAGGTTGCTATTACAGAGCCGCGCCTCGTTCTGGAAACAGACTCTGGCAGACAAAGAATTGAAAGATCTTCTTACTTGAATTATTGAATTGCATGATTTCGACAGCGTTACGTTTTATATGTTGAAGTTGGACGATAATTCGAAATATTTTTCGAGAAGAAATACACCCATATTTCTGTTACGTTCGTTTACGAAAGTCTGTTTCCTGTGTCGAAGCGACGACTGCGGGATTCTTAGTCTTACACAAAATTTACTAATAACAGATTCATGCAAGTGTCATGCAAGGTGTTTGCTGCACCGGCGACGCGAAAGTCGCGAGACAGAGGAAAGAGGATGAGATCGTAACGTGGACGATAACACGCAATTTCAATATCGAGCTGAAAAGTTTTCATCCAGAAAGCGCGTCCGTAATGTTTCCTCTGTCGTAACTTTCCAACACACTGTTGCTACACGTGCTACAATTCATGCACTCGGATTCGCTCCTTTCTACGTGTGGAATACACTCCTGCTAGATACGTGATTGCAAAACTCACTAATGCTACACCGTGGTACATCGCGCGCGCGCGTGCCTTTTAACTATCGAACTCAATACCAAATTTCAAGTGATTTCTTGCTTTCGATTCCATCTGTTTTACAATAAAGTCTACTCAAACGTTATTAAATCTTCTGGTAATAAAAACTTCTGTTATTGGATAAACGATGGACAATACCATCGAGGAGAATTGAACATTGAAAATTGAAAAAAAAAAAAGCACACGCACGCGAATCAAACAACTCGAGGAACGTAGAACTCGAAAATGTTGGCTGTCGATGCTGGCCGGTTGTCACTGGTTGCTTTCTCATGACGTTGCCGACGGGTGGACATGCCGAAACCATGCGGCTTGACCGTAGTTCTACTTTAAGCTCCGTGTACCACGAACCATTCTCGTTTCGCTGTCTTTTGTGGTGCATGAGGCGCGAAACACCGATGTCTCGGAAAGAATGGGCAAACGGACAAACGTGTACGAAACGTCAGTGACGAAGAACAGTGAAACGAACAACGTTTACGACAAGAAACAGAGAATAATCGAAAGTGTTGCACGATTCGTTTTTACGTATATAGAGAAATATATAGAGAAATAACTCGTTCGATCAAATAAAGATCAAGAAAAGTGCGCGCATAGATATCGAATGTCGTGTGTTTTTTGATAAATTACGATCGAGTAAGTGCTCGAAAGGGAATATTAACATACTGACCTAAAGTCGAAATGTTCTAAAATCAAGAGGACGTTCTCGTAATAAATTGTTATTTACAAAGTTACTTTCCAACGTTCGAATAATTTTTTGCACGATTATTTAGTATTATTAAAAAGCAATAGAACGATTAAGATTCTTAATATCAAACGTGTATCAAATATCTCTGCTACGTATTTGAATGTAGTAATATCGATTCGAGTAGCAATTTACAACGAGTTAATACGAAAATTCTCCAACAGTTCGATCTCTATGCGCCAGAATGAACGTCGCGTTTCTCTCTTTCTCTCTGCGTCTCGATTATTTTTCGTCACTTGGAGATTTTCCTTGGAGAGAAGGTCCGTCACTCCCAGTGCAAGGTGTGCACACAATGGGAAAGCGGTAAACGTGTGAGGTAATACAACTAGAACACACACATGAACTCCTAGATCTTGCAGTGATCGAATAACGTTGCAAACAATATATATATATATATGTATATATATATATATCTACGTTATGAATTTTTAGGAGCCACGTTCGCTTAGAAACACGACAAACTAGCGAAGACTTTGAGAAGGACAAAACATTCAAAAATACCACGATGTAATGACAAACATTGTTTTTGTCAAGAGCTTATGAGAAACTTGATGCTTGTGACTTTGCAACGATCAATGGCCATGAAAGAAAGGAAGAACAGAAAATAGTAATCGTAAGATGCAGCGATACTGCAAGGGAAAAAAAGACAACGAAAAACAACAGGTTAACAGTCACAAACAAAGAAGATGAATTTAGTCGAGTATGGAACAGGATACATGCAGCAGAACTTCGTCAAAAAGGCATGTCCATCGTGCTGAACAACTAAAAACACCATCGCTACACCGCGATTCAAAGAACGTTCTAAAATTCTAAATTTTTACTCTCTTCAAGCGCAATTTTCTGGCAGTTCGAATTCAATTTATCATTCTCCTTTTGAAACTTCTATCGCGAATAAACTTAATAAGAACTACTGTAATAATTCGTTTGGTTATATTAATTCGAGAAGAGTCGACTATTTTTAAAACACCTGCTACCTTCGAACAGGATAAATTTCAATTCGAAGCGAATTAAAATTCTTTTTTTCCACTTATTAAAAATTCATTGCAGATTCATTGCACTCTGGTGTTGGTAACATTTTGGAGGAAGGGCGCGAATGGTAAAATCGTGAGAGTGACAGAAAATCAGATGACTTATCTACACAGAACACGGTCGAGACTTCTCGCTACTGTTAATGCCGAAGAAAGAATCGGGACGAGCGATGACTGAGAGACTGTAAAAACTCTTCGAATCGCTTCGATTGGCAAATTGAATCGACCGATCCTCTTCGTGCTTTTCAAATAGCACGTAATTGCCTTGCCACTCTGGTTCGGCACGAGCGTAAAAAGAAACACAACGTGTTTCGTGCTACCCAATCGTTTGCGTGCACGTGATTGTTGAGAACCGCTCGTCCCGACGAGAATTCTAGTCGCCGACTAAAACTAAAATTCTACCAAGGATATGATCGGAATCAGTGACAGGTGAATCGAGTAAATCAGTGTTATACGATGTGATCATTGCAACGTTCTACAAAGCAAGCTGGGGCCCCTAAAATGACCGAGCGAAGTACAAGGATGATCGACAGGATCAGTAGGAGTGCGGGATTCGAACACGAGGTTGGGGAGACACGATTGCACATATCCTCCTCACAGAAGCACATGTGACCAGTGCCGGTACTTTCCATCATGCACACGTGGTCCACCATGAATAAGTTTATTTGTAGCTGCGAAGTGCAGGTCCGCCTCACGCTCTCATACGCTGCGAACAAACGAAAATGTATTAATAATTGTTAGATAACTCGAGATGAAGTTTGTTCCATAAAGTGTAACACGATGTAGCGAATTTAAGGAATTTGGAATAAAAATTCTATAAAAGGGAATTTGAAACAATTCGAAATGATATTTTTAAATCTAAAAGGAGTTTCGCAGAAGTGCACAATTACGAAACAGATCACTGAAAACCTTCGTATCGTTCAAACCTACGCTTGGTTGAAAATGTCAGAGTTCGTAGGTGTATATTTGCATTGTTAATGTTGCAGATACATAAAATTTTACCAAGAACGAATTTCGAACGATTATTTTCTAAAAATCTTGAATACCTGCTTCTTACTTTTTAAGAGATTGGAAATCAAAGTAAAAAATAATATAACGGACACAAAGAAATTAATGTGTTGCGGAATAAAGGACAAAAAAAGGAAGTACTTACGTGACTTTGCGTTGCGAACCATTTTCACGCAACAACCATTGCAAGTCATGAGAGGCGGTTGATCCCTCGGGAGTGCGGTGTAATTAAAAGGATCTTTGCATCTGAGATCCGTCCACGAGTCGCATTCGTAGCAATAAATAGAACGAGCTGTAAAATGAAGCCACTGTCATTGATCAACTTTCCAACATCCGTAACAAATGTAGATGAAGATAAAAGATTAAAGCGTTTTAAGTATCGTTACATCCAACGAAATCAATTTTCTTGAAATCTACGTTTTCAATCGTAGAGAAAACATTTCTTTGTAATTGCAAATCAGATGTACCAAACAGAAATAAGGACAGCATCAAATTAATATGTCAATCTTACGCAACTAAATTGCTAAGGAAAAAAAGAAAGAAAAAAGGTAAAGAAAAGCGAAGAAAACAAATTGATTCTTCAGACAAGAAGCCCTGCAGAACAACGTTGACGGACAACGATGACAAGAAGAACACTGAAGTGAAGCTGGTTTGATCACTCACTCTGGCACTCCGCGCGACAGACGGTGGCAACCGCGAGTACAATTGCCGCTGAAACGAAACATTGGCCATTGCTTTAGATGATGAAAACGATGTTTTTAACTGCGGGTGTCTACGAAATGATAATCATGAACAAAAAGTAAAAGAGTGCACAACACTGCTAGGTCTACCCACTATTGTTCCTACTGCTACTACCTTTGCTCTATTTACAACGATTATCCATCGGTTATGGTTGCATTCTAATTTCACTCAAGACTACAAACATGTTAGAATACCTTGATATCTAAATATTTTATTATTCACGCGATTAACGACATTAAAACAGTTCAATTTCTACTTCAAAGTCAACGATAATTTCTCAATAAAATTCTGATTTCAATTTACCTAATTTCAACATGATTAAAATATCTAGATATCTCGATAGTCGAAATTTCGATCGAAGTAGTACAAGGATACTAATACAATTCTGAGTAAAGTACAAAATATGTGGAATACTTCCAAATACTAGTCTTTGAGTAAATGTTATTCCCTGTCAAATAGATCTCGACGAGGCTGTGAAATGTATGATCGTTAATTTGGAAATACATGATCGCTAAACTTGATCGTATACTCGTGGAAGTAGAATAGGTCAATAGTTTGCGACTTACGTGTCACTTTCTTGGTTCTTCGTGTTATAACGTAACAATGATACAAATGCATCCGATTTCAGGTAGACAGAATACGTTTTTTAAATGATGAAATTCATGTACAAAATGCTTAAAATTCGTATACATGATTTTATGCGAAGTTCCAATTTTATGAAAAATGTTGAAATATACAAATCGTAAATGCACTTCTCCTTCTAGTTCCATACCTTCCATTATACAGGGTAGCATGTGTGGCAATTTAGTCGTAGCATGTGTGGAAAGTATGTGATTAATGACAATAACCATTCATCAAATCGAAACTTCTACCTTTTTCTTTTTTCTTTTTTTTTTTTTTTTTTTTTTTTTTTTTTTACCAGTCGTAGAAACTATCTGGTACGTACCTCGTGCACAGGGGCAGCGATCGTACGCGTGAATACTAGTTTAATTAATACTAAAATATCTCGTATAGTAATAAAATCTACGAAAACATGAAACGAGGTAACATAGTCATTGTACATCGTCGACGATAAATGTAGTCTTCGGTATTTTGTTCAAACAACAATTTTCGATCAACAATTGATAAATATTCTAAAATTTTTAAATATCTTAAATCCACGAAATAGTAACATGTAGATTCTTTTTGATAAAAGTTTCTATAAGATTTTTGCTCAGAGAATGTTTTGAAATTCGACGAAACAGAAAACGCTCATAGAAATCGATGAATGCCACATGGAATGTATGGAAGAATTTGAGACACTTTTATCGACGATGACGACGGAGCATGTATGTCCACTCTTAACTACGCTAATCGCAAGCTCGACTTTCGTCGCTACGTTTTCTTCCGTCTTTCGTCACCTGCACACTCACCCCGAGCAGTGCGCTTGATCACCTCCAAAACAATCGATAAAGCACGTTCCATTCTAACTATTCAGGCACAGTTATTGTTTCAAGGGAAGGAAAGTTCTAGCAGACTCTCGAACGGTGTAAAGCGATTAAACGACACTGTATAAGAGTATGACGCGAATTTTCTCTTGTTCTATCCTCTATATTCTCTTGCGATACGAGTTGCAACAACTCATCAAGTTATAAATGAAGAAATATGTACATTCTACATCAAAATATTGAGTACGCTGTATAATTATATTTTTTATATTTGCATTTAATATTTGCGATATGAATTGTCTACGTCGTCGGTGTAATTTTCTAAATAATAATTAATTTACTGAAGTTAAATGTTGTTTGTACGATTAGACATTACAGAGACAAAGCCTACTGCAATTATTGCTTTGCACAGTATTAGTTTAAAAAAATGGACAAACTTACTAGCAATCGTGATCAGTGCAGTTAATGTTACGATACAACGAATTACGAAATGCTATTATTAAAATGTCCATGTTTGTTTCAAGTGTTAGGTGTACATCCAATATAGGTAGAACAGAAAATATGCTCCTTGGAAAACCAAAGAGGGGCAATAAATTTATAGGAGATAATAACTATAACAGGGAATTAAACCATTACATTAAATGTAGACTTGAAAGACACATTTAACAATCACTAGTTATATGAAAAAGAAAAGTATAACAAATCGTAGTGCATCTTTCCTCAAGTTTCCAGTGTTTCTGTGTATTAAATATATATATTTACGTGCCTGAGTTTTCTTTTGCAAGAACATCACAAATAAATTCGTATACACGAACAATTTCGGATTTCTTTCGACTGACAAAAGGAATTGTAGAAATAAAAAGGAAGAAACATTTTATTTCGTGAAACTCACCCACTGTCAGGTGATTCGGTGACATGTTTTCCGGCGGTCTTTTCCTTCTTACTTCCGGTTCAGCTTCATACCGTGTCACGAGCTTAACCCTACGGTAGGAATGCACGTCAGTGGCAATTCGCAGAATTGCATTCGCCCGTCAGGCGATCGACTGCAACGAAAAGCACACATTTCAAAGACCCGACAAGTCGAGCTTTTATTTACCATTAACCAGTGGCCGCTAATAATCGAGGTACAAAGCATAATAGAGCTGAAATAGAATTCGCCAGATTTAGAAAACCGATATCTCGAATGGATCTATGGATTCCATGGCGCTGTGAAATTACAGAGAGACATGAAATTAATAATTACGCGGCTCGATTTTCGACTATCTGATGATGTGAAAATGAATCATATCAAAAAGCAACAGAAAATAATGGTCGAAAACATATAGTAAGAGAAGCTGAGCTACTGAGTTGGCGTGCATAAAAATGTTGTTGAATTCGTGAAAATCCAATTTCACAGAAACAATATTTCGTATGCACTAACCTACATGGGGAAAAATCAAGAAAGAATTAATTGAGACAATCTATGAGACAAAACCGCGAGTGTAAAGGATATTTTGTACAATAGAAAGATGTATACTATACAACCGTACTATGTAATCTCGTTATTTTTAATTCCGTAAATGTATGTTAGAATCATTGATTTACTAATTTCGTTAGTAACAGACTTCTAGACTAAACTAACTATACATATATATTTCAAAGGGCTGTGAATCTAAGTACTCTCTAGCATATGTCAGTAATTAGAAGTAAGTGGGTAGTAGTAGTATTCGGGTCAGTATATTCTGGTTTTCATGCAATGTGTTGCGGCAAACAACACTGCGGCATATAACCGAGCCAACAAAATACCGCATATTTTTCGTTCTACAAAACCGTAACCTTGCTTATTCAATATTTTATCAAACATCTTTCGTACGCATGAAACTATGCTATAAATACCGAGAACCTGTTTGAGTAATGTCTTGTGAAATAATTAACTCGACTCATTGATTCAATTATCCATCGAGAAAACGGCGACATGTACGATACAACTTTATTTCTGATAAAAATTATTAGATTTAAGGATTCCGATTAAAGATTAAATTTAGAAACAATCTTCGAAGAGGATAAAACGAAACTGCAAAAGACTTTCTTCATGAAAATAGATATACTTCCTACATCGTCCTTCCCTTTTATATAACATCGATTTAGCAAGATAAGTATGTAAGTGTGAACGTTGTTCGTTTATACAACGGAGAAGTACTTGACGATAGAAACGTCATTAAGCACCTAATGAGATCCATTAAATGAGATTTTCGTTTGCATCCTATGCTAAAGTTTCCAGTCGATCTGTTTGTTTTAAGGCTTATTGGCTAGTCTGAAGCAGTTTTCATTCGTGCGATTCAGTTACATGAATATCGTTCTTATAAATATTTTCTACCAGAACCTACCCGAGTATTTATGTAAAATGCTTTCAATCTTGCACGGAATTAACACACGCGATGCAGTATTTTAAAAAGTCGCGTGTTGATCAAGCAAAAATTATTACGAGTAACAATTTCTTTTAAATTTCTTGCAAACTTCTTTCTTCCATATTGTTATTTTTTTAATGAAGATATTATTACAAAGTGTGCAGTAGAGATCTTCATATCTACTCTAAAATACATAGAGAGAGTTAAGCATTCTTCCAAGTTCTTGCCGTAACAAGCGCGACAGTATCAGAATGAATAAATAATTAAGTTTTGATGAGCTTCATTATCTACCTCGTGAACATCTCGTAGTTTCATGTACCTCTAATAATTCTACGATATAAAAAATTCTATCTTCCTTAATTCAAATGTCCCATCTAACATTTTACACTTCGAAAAAAAAAGAAAAAAAAGAAAAAAAAAAAAAAAAAAAAAAAAAAAAAAAAAAAAAAAAATATTTGGTGTATGTTACGGAAATTGTTACGAAACGATGACTAAATTTCATTTAAAAAAAGACAAGAATGGCACAATGAAAATGACCTATTCAATTAAGGAGATAACAGAAACATACTGTAAAAGTGAAATGACATTCGAAGATAAAGCTTTTTAACAAAAATGAAAATATCAAGATACTTTTCAAAGTATCTTTACACGAAGAAGTTTCACGACTTAGCAATATGATTTACCTTTTTTATATATTGACGAAGATTTTTGGTCCTTTGTGACGTACAAAAAGTATGTTTTCGAAATAGCATGCGAGTACAAGCACTCGCTAAACAAATAGGTGACACAATATCTATGGTTTGGAATTTGTGGATTTGACGCAATGCTACGAGGACAAGCGATCGTCCCAACGTGGATCGTGTCTTCTGTCAGAGTGTCGCGGTTTCATCTTCTTGCCCAGGCACACATCATACATCGAACAACACTACGACCTTCTTCTTATGTCACCATCGAACTCCATCGAACAAACTGACGATCCTGAAATGATTTCAAGCAAAAAGATTCGACGTTTCCAATGGAATCGTCTAGAAACGAATGATTGTCAACACGGTTCAAAAACTATGAAAATCAGAGACTTGTACATATGTCACGATGCGTAACTCGTTCCGTTTTCCAAGAATACATAATGATCGTTAATTATGAGGATAGACGAGATGGGAAGGAAATCTGCAATCTGTTTTAATTGAACGTGACGCGTTGCATAGACGAATTTAATAAACTGCTTTTATATAAAATCGTGTTTATTTTATATTAACCGCAATTCAAGTAGTTACTTATTCGTACAATTTATCTTAATTTATTTCTCAAGAATCATTTGTTGCAGTGTGTACATTTGGTACATTTTAATTTAAGGATGATTTTAAAAACTGTCATAAAAATTATTATGCGATAAAAAAACGAATATGTATGAAACTCTATCAGGAATAATGAACTCTAATCACTTTATATCATACCAAAATTTATTTCCTTCAATAAATGCTCCAATAAATTTGTTCTAGAAGAGATTAAATAAAAAGAAATGCTATGAGAATGAATATAAAAATATGTGACTCACGTTAAAAAATACTACTAAAAGTATTATTTTTCATTTTGCTATTTCGTTTAATAGCTAAAAAGAATCTTTGTGAAAAAGAAATGGTATATAAATCTAAAATATGAGATAAGATAAGCAATCTGTGCTCGTACATCAATAAGCTTTATGCCTAAGTAAGTTTGCACAACTGAACCGTGACATATAATTTCATATAATGCTTCGAATCTTTGTGCGCGAGAAAGCGGTCGACAGACGATATATGACGACTCACTGTCATAGATATAAAATATTTGTAGGAAAACAAATGAAATAGCCACTTGATGTATAAAGTGCATAATGGAAAATGTTCGTGAAAAAACATGCAATGTACACATAATATAGTGCGCAGCAAACGTTTCGTGTAAAGAAAAATGTTAATGCAACGAATCAAACGTTTTTACAAATCCATTTCATCCAATGTTTGCGGGCTTTGACATGTTAGTATTAAAAAGTCAAATGTTACGAGTGAATAGCCCTTTCCTGTACCAATAATAGTTAAAATTTGAGCACCTGTTGCTCTAGATAACCTAGGAAATTTATGAATCTTTTAAACTAGACTCTAAAAACTGATTTTGATGTTTCAAATAATTTGACAGAAATTACTAATGAGAAATTGATAAAAAATCATTCACGAACAGATATTTTTTTCAAAGTACATAAATTGAAAGGATCCTCGCGAAAGATATTTTAATATAAATTTCGTAATTTGTTGAAATGAAAAATAAACAATTAAAAATATAAAAAGAAGAAGATAAACATGACAATATTGCCTGATAGTTCTAACAGAATTTTAAACGTACCAATTAACCATAAACTTGGATTTTTGTAGGTTTCTATCCTCTTTTATAGGTTTCAGTGCAATGTTTGCAGCGTAAAACTATCACATTAATACTGAATTATTATTCCTAACTCAAACTAAAGTGATACTCTTCTTACAAAAACACATGAGAAAATTTCATCACGCTGATGCAATTATTCAAACCGCGTATGAAATATAAAACGCAGCATCATGAATAAAAACGACCTCTTTTAGTAACATCAATTTAAGCAGATGATAAACGAAATAATCAGACAACATTATCACTTATATTTATTTGCTCGACAAAAAAACAACACATTCCATTTTAATAAAAACAACTGAGTCATGAAAAACGCAATTAATGCAACGTATTTTCGAGAAAAAAAAAAAGTAAGAAACATCAACTATTGAATAACAAAGAATGCACGCGATTTCAGTATTTTTGCTTTTATAGAAACAGAACACAGTACGTTTCGAATACTAAAAATTTCAATTGTTCACATAAAAAATTGTTACGCTTCCCAAATGCACAAGAATTAATTCGCTTTGAGAACTATCACGAATAAAACAAGTATGAAAGACGTTTTCCGAATAATTGTAAAACTATTCGTTCTATGTCCTCGTCAATACGTACACAATTGGTAAGATGATCCGGAATATTCAACCGTTCAAAGAAACCGGATATTTGTCGAAGAACAGAAGACGAAGATACGAAGATCACTAATTTCGAACAGGTTCGAGCAAATCACCGTCACTATCCTCGATTAATCGGTGTTCTTCGGTGATTTATGTGATCACTGCATCACCAGCATGGCGCTGGACGATTCCACGTTAGGGAAGGACGATGCGGCGTAAGTAGGTGCAGTGGTTGCGACTACGCTAGCGCTTTTGAGCGTCGGCAAGCGTCGCGACACGGTCCGAGGAGCGCCACCCCGAGTCGCGCAATCGAATAGAAGCAAGGTACGGATCCAGGTCGATCAATATGAAGGGCTGGCAGTCGTTGCCTCGTGCTCACGTTGCGGCAACCAGTCTGAACCGATGAAAAACACAGAGAGAGGGAATACATCACGTTTGCGCCGTGGAATCTAGTTTCGAACTAAACACACGTCTATGCCGACAACTATCACACCGAGTTTTCATATTCATTGAATCTGAATCTGAATTAAATTGAAGGATATAACGTTTTATGTATCTCTATCAACTGCTATTATTCATGGAGTGAAATATTAATAGATATAGACGTGTCACCCAATATAGTTTTGCGTCATATACTCTTACCACTTTAGTGTCATTTCCAACTTTACCGATTCACCGTAGAACAAGAACACAACACTCGTAGCGATTCAAATTGAAACTATATTTTCATATAAAATCTCAATGATAAAATTACGAATATGTAACATTTAGTGCAATATATTTCGTTCAAATGTCTAAATGTTATTATTTCTGTAATTATTGAAAATATAAAAAATATACGTAACAAAAGAATCTCCGAAAACCTATCGTCTACTATTTGGTTAAAATTTATAAAATATACTTCTTTTGCATAAAAAAAGAAGCATTTATGAAAAGGATTTTGACACAAAAATTCAGAACTACTATATATTTCAAATAAGAGAATTTACTGCTATCGAAATCTTCCCAATTAAAAAGAAATAAATTTGCACTTAATTTCTATGTATTTTCCTTGTACATATACTTACATATTTATTTTCCGATACAATACAATTAATCAGAACTGTAAGTCTTAATATTTTTCACCATTCTTTCTTCTTGATCGCGTACAAACGCTGTAGCAATATGAAAATATAAATATATATATACACGAGTGACATTTTCAACAAATAATTCAGTAGGCAACATATTCCTTCAATCTTAGTGAAAGAAATTGGGACATTTTACAAACGTAACGTTACTTTACGAAATGTAATCATTTATCGACGCAACACTAATAAAGAAAATAACTCAAATATCCACGATGAAAACGAATCGCGACACTAACTTGTAAAATGAAATCTACTATTGAAATGAAAGAAAGTACTTCAATTATTATAAATTATTAAAAATTAAACATTACAAAATAATTTATAATTGGAAATACTAAAAACAAACGCGATATCTTATAACTCGCAACACTAAAAAGCAAACACATTAATTACTATAATGCAACTCTACTAAAAATTCAAATAAATATTCTTTTGAAATTGTAATTCAAAACACGCATATCTTACAATTAGTCCGTAATTTTCAAATACAATTCGTAATTAATTTCTTGAAATGCTAATAAAACTACAATTTAACTACTACAATGCTGGACCGACCACGATTTGCCTAATATTGTATAAACATTGGCCAAAAACAAAATAATACTACTACCACTACTACATACTACAAATATTAAAAAGCGAACATAGTGACAAAGTAGTAACAAGAATGATTTCCTATGCTTTGTATGGACTTCCCATTCAAAAGATAAGAAATCATTAATAGTTGCCCTCTTGAATGACAATTTGTCGGGCCTCTTCGGCTTCAAGCCTCTTCTTTCTTCGGGCGCAATGCCCGCTGAAACTTACATCTAGCTCGAGTCTTTCTAATCGCAAACAAAAAATAACCTATAAAGGTGAAATAATAATATAAATCGCGAAAGCTGAACTCAATACACATGGACGACCATCTGTCATAGTCATGATCGTTGTCCGTCGCATGTGCATGCTCGAGCATACCTACATGAACGTTCGTTTCGGGACCTATTCGCGACCTATCCACGACCGCGACCGCGGTAATAAATTCGAAAAATCGAAGAGTAAAATCAGAAACAAGCGACATGTTCACTTGTACCAATTTCACTGTCGATTTTTCAAATTAAATTTCCTGAAACAGGTTGGACACGCGAAAAGGGGAAGCGCGACCAGAGACTGTGCCAACCTGCCCGGCCCTACCTACTTAGAATTAAACACAGGCATACCAGAAAGTAAGCTACCAATCCTAACCAGTCGCCCTATATTTAAAAAATGGCAAAACAGACACACCAACACACTCACTCTACGGCTCTCACGCATACCACTCGGACGCAGAGACCTACACTAGAGAGGACGTCCCGGGACGCCTCCGACACCCGAGCTTAACACACAACTTTCACACTCTAATTTACGTACCATTTTCCTGAAATCGACTGACAATGGCTAGCGACCATTGCGTAAAACGTGATTAAAACACGTTTATATTTACAGCTATACGCGAGATATTAATAACTAAAAAAAGATGCATATAATTACTATAGAAATTAAATGTACAAGTTGACTTGGAATCATAATTATAATTGATAATGTAGTTACAATAATAATAATATAATTATAGTTTATAGCGTAGTATTTATCATGTAGTATGATAATATATTCATAATTCTTTAAATTAGTGCAAAATATTTCAAATTATAATGAATGGAACAATAGAAACGACGCAATTCCACATCCTAACCACTCACACACATATGCGGAAAATACGTCGTGCACAATACGCAAACACATTGTCAGTCGCTGAGAAATTATTAAATTTATGAACTATGGTCATCATGCCCACTGTCTATCTCCCACTCAAGTAGCACCTGGGCACGTGAGTGAGTTCCTGACAGTGAACACGGAAAGGATTAAACCTGAAAATCCTGATCTAAAAAAAATGATTAGTTTATGTAATTTGTATCTAACGGATTAATATTCCTTGACACATTTTTCATTTTAATTCAATTATCAATGTTTGCATTTTATAATTTATTTCAATATTTTAATCAATTACTGAAATGCTACACTTAAGTACAGAAAGTATATGTTCATTGAAAAAGATTCAATACAAGATACAAGTACGTAATGTAAATTAAAGAATAATGATCTCGAAATGAAATATTAATATAAATATCCTCAGGCGATCTTGTCATCAAAGTACATCTTTAAAAACACGAAAGTAGTATTTAATACCATTGCTTTGATTCTGAGATCTACCTGTCGCGAAATGTCTTCTTGCACATAATTAATACAGTCTTAGACTATATTCTTAGTCAGAACTTTAACATCTTTATATTTGAAAGTATATTGAATTTGTTTTCTATATAATTTGATGTTATTAAAAAAGAGCAAATGAAATTATATAATTAAAGTCACATAATAACAACAAAATTAAAGTATGTTCAACTTTTCAACTATGAAATTTTTGAATGACATCATACGTATTTTAATATTTATATTTTATTCGTGGTGGTTATTTATTTTTAATAAGGACGTATGTATTCACTATACATATTCTATTCTACAAATAATTGATGTGAATTATTTTCAATCACGGATTATAAATATTATGTGTCAATATTCTATTCATATTGATTATTATTATTCAAAAACACGATGTGCAAGAAAACCTATCCTGAACTGATAAATAAAACACAGAGAAGAAAATGTTATTACTCATGGGTATAATACATGCCCACGGTCACTATGCTCGTCAAAAGTTCTACGTAATACAACCAGTTACTCGTATCGATTCGGATCTTTCATCCTACGACATGATTGAGTAACCAGAGGAACAGAAATGCATGCGACTCACAAATAGATGCGAAGAATTTTATCAGCAACGCTGCGACAACCCATTGTGGAAAGGCTGCTGTCATGAAGGAACCATAGAGGTGCAAGTTGTGAAAAATCTTTAACAAAAACAGAACGTTTTTATAACTGATTCTTAAAAATAATAATATATATTGATTAAAACATTTAACAAATGAATATTCAAGTAGGAATAATATTCAAAGACACTTACAGTGCTAATGCTTGGAAGACAAGTGTCAGCAGAACGTGTTCCATGTTATGAAATCCTTGTTATGTCGAAAATGAAAGCTGTAAAAAATTGATAATTATTAAGCTGATGAAATAGAATTTATTTTTGTAGAAACAATATTGATGACTTATATAATGTAAAATAGAATTTTAGTAGATTTATAACTTTAATAAAAATTAATATTTAAATTTTAATAGTTACAGAAACAGAACGTCTTAAATACTTAAAACTATTTTATTTTTTAATTAAACAATTAAAGTAAAAACATTTCTGGATATTGTCAAATATCTGTAAATACAATTGATTGATACAAATTATAACGATATTATTTCAAACAAATCAAATATGGCGTACTTACTTTTCTTGTTAAAGAAAACGAAGCTGCGCAGTATTCAAACGATATGATGCGCAGAACACTGACCGGTAGCGTTCCTTTCTGTATACATATGAACATAATTTCATCAATATGGAAATAAGTGTCACCAATCATTTGACGAAATAAAAAAAACGACT